GCACTGCAAATCCCTCTCTTTGCCTCAGCAAAGAACACTGAATGCATTTTTGAGGGCAGAAATCTGCTGTTAACCAACACTGAGGCCTGTATGGCATGTGTTTGCATCACGCGTACAGGGTATCTCATGCAATTTCACTAAGAGGAAATCAAGAGTTATTCCCAGAAAGGAAACTCAATTTTCTTTTATCAAATTGGAAGGGATGATAATTATAGTTCTTGCACAACAGAGTAATTCTAAAGCCCTTTTACAAAGTTATCTATTTTACACTAGTATGTGTGACTTTTGTGAATAATTTGCTGATACTAGAAATTTAATCTTTAAGTTTCACAGACTTAAGAAAATAAGCTGTGCAAATATCATAATTCAATTCTCTTGATAGCCAAATTTTTTTCTATATCTTTCTGGCCTGATGTCTCTTTTACTTACAAAGAAATGAAACCCTGACCAATTGTGTTAGTGAGAGAATTTTAAAATCATTTTTTTCAAAAGTTTTCAAGTTGGCTTCATCCAAATGGAGTTAGTTTTTCAAATAGGAATTTTCTACTCTTAGTTAAATTTTGTAGCATCTGTACATGTATTTCAGAGATTCCAAACAACCTCTGAATTGCTAAAAGGCACAGCTGTCTCAACTGATTTCATCTACTTAGTATTCATGTTACTTTTGTTACCATTAAGGCTCAAACATAGATATGATCTATTCTGATTTGGATTCTTTGTGCTCAGGAGGGTGATGGAGGGCTGTACTCTTTGCTTTCAGTGGTAGTTGCTCCTGGTGTTCCTGGTAGCTTTCACCAGGCTTGCAGACAGCTCTGACATTAAGGGCAGTGACCAAAACTTTGCCCTTTGCCGTATAGTGTGATGTTGGTAGGCAGCCTACAGCCCCATTGCATACATTTGTTTTAAATATATATATGTATATACATATTACATTTAAAATAATTTATGCGTCTTTCAGAGGACAGAATTGTTTAGAGTCAGAGTAAGAAAGGGGTGTCGGAAGTAATGGCTTGCTTAAATACTTTTGTGTAAAGTAACTCTCTCCTCCCATAATTTAAACTCCCATTACCTGCAGAATGGGGCTATTGTGCCACTATCAGTTACAGGAAAGTGCAAAAAAAATAAAAGGCTGAAGTACTAATGCCTTGTTAGACTACCAGTGTTAGAATCTGTCACTTTGAGAAACCTTTTGCAATAATATTCCTCTATTTTTCCAAAGCTGGTTTATATGAAGTTCCACCCATAGCAGTTACGCAACAGGATTAACAAATACAAATGCCTTTGTGGACAAATAAATAAAGAAGCAGTAAGAATATGCCAAAGACAGTCACTAACAGGTAGCTCTCCTAAAATAAAAAGTACTGCAATTAATCGTAAGGACATCATTTTTCCTAATCCCATATTCAATTGCTGTTTTGAGTGCAATTTATGCCACACACCCACCCATGTCTATTTTAATCAAACATTTTGTACTGATGGGTAAATTAAAATCATGTAAGAATAGAAATCTGATACATGTGGTAGAACCAATAGAAGGCTGTTATGTCCATCACTCCTGAACAATATATGTCAGTTAAAAAAAAAAAAAAAAGAGTAACATTTTATAAAATAAAAAGGCTCATGAAAGTTCCAAGCAATTCTACAAAATGTCAAAGTAACTTATCATGTTCCTCATCACTAGAGCATTTACAATGGATAAAGCCCTGGGTTGAGCTGAAACAAGGCTTCTGGTCCTGGTCCATAGGCAGGAACCCGAGGACCCCAAGGAGATGGCATAGACTGAGAAGGCCATTAGTGCATTGACATCAATGCCCAAGTCATCAATTTGAGTTTAAGTATTTAGTATGCGTGTATTTATACTGTCAATTAGATGGCTCACAGACTATGAAACTCTGGAAAAAGAAAATAGATAAACTAAAATAAAACTGAGTGACAACCTAGACACTAGCAAACCTCCTTTGCAAGCACTAACTTGCAAGGAAAGCAACAGAAATGAAGGGTGAGATCTAAAATGGGTGATTCTGGTAGCTCTGTTTTCTCCTCATTTATGTACCAAGAGCTGGGTGAGGACTCTCCTCTGAGCTGTGGAGTGGAGGGTTTCTTCCCATTCTTCAACTTGTCCTGGAAGACCTGAACCCAGAAACACATACAGACACGTCCCTCTCCCTGAAATCAAAATTCATATTTACTGCTTGCTTTCTTGGAAACTACAGCATCTTTTTTCTTACTGAGTTTTCTGTTCTTACAAGTTTGAATTTAAGCTCTAGCAAATTAGAGTTGCAGAAGCTTGAGTTATGTTTTTGCAAAGCTCCATTACCTCCCCTGTATGACAGATATTAGAAGAAAAAAACTTGTACCAAATTCTCTGAGACATCTTGATTAGCAGAGCATTTTTCCATAAACGGCCTTGTATTTTACAACATTTGAAAAAGTTATAATTACCACAGAACAGCAGAATGATTTCAGGATAGTGAGAGGATTTGAAAGGCTATTATTTTATGGTAAATGGCTTTAAACATCCTCATAAAGGAACAACACTTTGTGTGTAAAAAGTCTTGGGGCTTTTATTGTGGGTTGTTTTTTTTTCAGCAAAATGTTCTACATCAGCTTTCTCTCCAATCTCAAGCCACAGAGTATGCAAACAGTAACATTATATCCCATTTACTCTGTCTGCTGATTAAAGAGAATGGATCATACTCATGTCATGTTACTCTTTTTAAGAATCATTTCTTTTAGGTGTTTTGTATTTTACAGATATTTGACCTCTGAATGACAGAAGTTACAAGAGCATAAAATCAATGTAAAGTGGTTAGAATTCTGCCGAGTCTACAATTTAGCCTTAAAATTAATAAAATAAAATAAAATAAAAATAATAATGAAAACAACAACTACAACAAACATACAATCTTTCATTTAGTATCATAGTATTGTATCTTGCAGCTCCTCCACCATCTGAGCTGGATGCTTTGGATGCCATGTCTTTCATCATGTCAGACGCAGATCTGGTAAGGAACCTCGGTGTTGAGGCTGAAATCTGGGAAGCTTGAGCTCTCCACATTTTGCTTCTGTCAGAAGGAAGAGGATCACAGATAAAATTAATGTTCCTATACCTATCAAATAGGGTTATGAGACAATGTCTGGAAAGCATATCTGGAACTGAAATCTAATGGCAGAAGAAATTCGTATATTTGTAAAAGGAACAGAGCTTACAAAGTCATAGCTATTGAAAGTCAGTTGGACAAATGCTCAATATTTTTGGCTTGCTTGTTAGTAATGGTTTGTGAAAGCTGCTAGTTAAGATAATGCAAATCTCATAAGCTGAGCTTAAGCATTTTCACTAGTTTGCATTCATGCAAAAGTTGCAGATTGTTCTGCACAGCACAGAGCCCAGCCTCAAGGAGGAGTGTCAGAAGTGGACACACTTTTTTTTCCTGGGGTTCTAAGGACTTTAACTAGAATACTTTTTTGTGTATCTTATGTACATTTTTCTAGCACAAAAGAGGAGAATTTCCTCTCACGATCAAGATCTCTATGGCTAAGCACTGATGTAGTAGAATGAGGCAGGGTGACGTCTATTATGAATATTGCCTGCTTCTCCTGATGAAATTTGCCACATAACTGTACAAGCCTCCCACTTACATTGCTTCCTCTGGCACCTATATTCAGGCCCAGCCATTGCAGTTACATTGCAGTGTGTATCCAAAAACAGCTGTGAATAATATTTTTAGACATGTACAGGAAGACTACTTTGTGTTGTGTGATTGGAAGGCTATGAGAAGATCTGGGATGCCTCAGTAAATCCAGTAGGGATGCCTTCAGCACAGTGGAACATTCAATGTTCCCAGTGTTTTTAAAGTTTTATAATGCAGTGTCAAAAAATATAACTCAGACTAGGCAATTCTCATGGAAATATTTAGTCCTCTCTCATGTGGGAAAAAGACTGAAGCTCTTAAGTTCTGTTCTGCAAATTCAGAGTCAAAGGGTAATGATTCCCCTTGTGGGATAAAGTTGATATATTTTACACAGTTGCTGAGAGCAATGATTAGGATTTGAGAGAAGTCCTTACAAGACTCCTGGACTCAAGCTTTTTATTATGTCTATGATATTACTTTAACCAACATAATTTAATGTCTAAACTGATACTGTACATAATAATGGACATTGTGCACCTTTTCCAGCCCTTTGGACTTCCTCTTGCATTAGATGTATTAGCCTAAATTCGTTGCTGTCATAATTTCACTGGTGTGACTGGAGCAACGTGAAGGATGAGCACATATCCACCATGCAGCCATTGCACGTTGTGAAACTTCATAAAAAATGGGAGAGTATGGATTCTGCAATCTCTGGTGATTTTCCAATGTCGTCTCATTCTGTTTAACACTGACTGCAGACAGGGTTGGGCAATGGACATTTATCTGAATGACTGTCCTGTTTGTTCATTGCAACACCACAAGCTAATCACACTGCAACACTCAGAATTTACTTTGCTTGCATACTCTACTGGATTGATACAAAGATTTCATATTTCAAGAGTACTCATTCTCGTTTTCAAAATCACAGCATAATTAAACTATATTAACTTCTGAATTAAAAAAATGAAAAATCCTGAAAAATATTTTTATGGCCTTTTTGCTTTGCATTGAATATGTTAATATTTTGTGATAGAATCTTGCATTTTAGGAGAACAAAGAGCTTTAAAGGAATGGTGACTAACACATATTTGCATATATTTTACACCCACTCTGGTGACACTGCGCTTGTCACATCTGGTAATCACAATTAAGGTTTTCAGTACAAAAGTCAAATGGCACCAATTATTTCTCTCCCAGTTTGTATGGGAACTGTTGAGGCCTGATCCACTGATTGATCACCTAAGGAAAGGACTGGCTCAGCCCTGGGAGCACAGGTGAAGGCACCTATGTGATCAGAAAGGGTGGAGCCTGGCTGCATCTCTCTTAGACCCCCCTATTAAAGGGCTGACTGCCACTGGGGAAGGCTCTCTTTCTGGAGATCTCTTTTCTGTGGAGTCTTTCTTGCTAACCTAGGTCTTTGAATGCAGGTGAGCATTCCTTCCCTGTTTGTTTCTTTTACCATTTTCATCACACTAATCTTTCCAGCTGTAGCATCAACTGTAACATAGTTGTATGCCAGGTTACATGTATTTAGATGTGACAATGAGACCTCTACCTTTACTGAGCTATGGTCTGTCTTTTTAACTTTCCTTATTTCTTGTCTTGAGTTAATGAAAACGAACAACAAACAAACATACTACCTCTATTAGATAGCCTTGATTTGGGTATTCTTAAAATATGACCTGAGTATTTTTATGTTTATTCTTTTTCAGGTTACTAGTGGTACAGCAGGAATGTGATAACTTCCATGCTATGCATAAAGTTGAAAAGAGATCCTGAATTATTTCCATAAGCAGGAAGAGGCTCTACCTTGTCTCTTCCCTCCTTACTAGAACCTGGTTTTCTGCTCTGTATCTCAGCCGTCAAGAGACATTTTTTTCCTTTTCTGGGAGCAGAGTAACCCAATTTTAGTCATAAAACTTCACTGTATACAGCAGGAGCTCTTTTTTAAAAACACTGTAAATGCAGACCCTGGGGAGGAAGGAATGACTAAATGACACAGAAAATTTGCACTTTACTCAAGGCAGTGGGAGTAGTGTGAGCTCTCTGTCTATTACAAGGGACCATGGGAGAGGACTGAGCACAGAAGAGCTTTGGGATGTCAAGTCTCCAGATGGTAACAGTTAGAGGTGCAGCCCTGCCTTGGAGCAAGCCCCAGCTCTCTTTCACTGATGGTTCACACGGAATAATGCATTATCCAGTACTGCTCTTTGACTGGCACAAACAAGATAAAGAATGGAATTTTTTACATCCTTCCCTCCAGATAACAAATCATACTTTGAATATAATATTTGTATTGTTTTTTTTCTTTTCTGAGGACAACAGGTCAAGAAACAAGATTGAAAAATACGTTTGTGGGTTTTTTTTTATTATTCAAACAGCATATAATGCACCCCAATGTTATATCACCCGACAAAAGATCCATATGTCACTAAATAGAAATATCTCTATTCTAGATTTTTATCTTGTCACTGTAATTTTTTTTCAAGTTTTACTTTCTATTGCTATAATTCTTTTCCTTGCCACAACTAGTGTTTCTATGTAGTACAGATGAAGATGATCACTCTCTCTTTTTAGAAACAAAGCAATAAACAAACTTAAGCTCTCTCCATTGATGTATTTTACTGATGATGACTAACATGTAAACATAATGATTATTCAAATAAAAAAAAAGCATCTACACAACCACCTATTTTCATTTTAAGATACACAGTGTATTTTGCTGCAGTTATATTGACAGTGGTGTTTGATATTTTTAAGTGTTATAACTGTGGGCCTACATCTGTTACAATTAGAGGAATGCTTTAACTGTTTTTCACAGATAAAATAGATACAGATAGGGATACAATTCAGGCTGAGGGAGTGATGAATGATGAATATTATTGAAAATTGCACTGTAGTGTGCCCCCCTGTGATGACAATGAAGGATATTTCCAACTCTGCAAACTAAGAGTGCCTGGGGCGATACTTTAACTGTATATTGACATTTAGCACTTAAGAGACTGTGATTTTTTTGACCTTTTTTTCCTCTTCCCTGCAGTGCTGAGACATGAGTATTGGAAAATATGGAAATCTAAGACCAAAACTCTTGGACTTAAGCGTGTGATGAGTTCTTATTCCAGCATACCACAACGATTGCTGTGAGATAGAAATGATCCCATGTGCAGATGTCTCAGGCAGGACCTCAGCAGATCAGTGCTGTAGGAGGCACTTGGGAAGAATAGAAACTGCAGGGTGCTTTCTTCTTTTCACACATCTCCAGAACTTGGCTGATGTTTTTAGGCTGAAGGGCAATATTCCTTGTATTGTGGCAATGGCAAACTATGCTGTTTTCAAAGGCTGAGCTACTGCCTTAAATGTTACAGGCTACAAGGGGGAAATTATTATTTTTTTCTTCAGGGTGAGAAGAGTTAAGCTCTTGATTTTATTTTTTTTTATTATTTTTTTAATGGAGCTCAGTTTGGCTATCAAGATATTTTTTTCTTGCTCTTTCACCTGCAGACAATTATGACTAGAAATGCATTTTATTTCTTTCACTGGTCAAGGGCTAAGCATCTATTTGTTGGCACAGTCAGAAAAGTATCTATCCAAGTAATATAAAACAATTGTAAAGATATTTGCAGCCCACTTTATTTGCTATTACAATAAAACTGAGAGAATGTGAGGAATGAGGTCTGACTTGATCTTGGAGCAGAGCAAGCTTCTAGAAAATACACTTCAATTTCTTTCCTCTTCCTTTTTGAAAGGACTGAGGTAGAATAAGTCTATTCTACATCAAAGTTAACCAACATGTAGAACCTGCAGAAGGAATTATCAGATGTAACAATATTATGAACTCCATCTTGGGGGTTAAAAAAAAAAAAGATTGGATCTAACCGATGGAGGCCAGGAAGAAGTAGTGCAAAAGCAAACCACAGCTCCTCAGAAGAAAAAGAATACTTGAAAGACAATGGCACAAATAAGTTTTTACTACCTTTCTGGCTTTATACTGTTGTGGGTTGCAGCAGCTTGAAGGCAGAAGATGCGTGTGAAGTTAGCACTGAGGACAGCACAAGGCTGAGAGCACAAGGCTGAGAGCCCAACTCTTCTTGACCAGAGAGATCAAGCGAGTCAGAAGCACATGTTTCTGAGACCTTGAGACAATGTGATTTAAATGACAAGCTGCTGAAGTTTGGGTTCATGGACTTAGGTAAAAACAGAGTGACATTACAACCAACTCTTGTAGATCATGTTTATGGTAGGCAATGTTTTCAGAAAAGCAGATTATTTTTTATCTCTTAGTGCTGATATGTAGCTTTAGCCACTCTGTGGTGGCTAAGAAAATATTGAAGTGTCAGTGAATTATAGGCATCTTTTTTTATTTTTTTTTCTCCAGGGATCTGGAGACATTCTTATGATTACAACAGTCAGGTCTCAAATGCTGCATGCTCCAGATGACATGAGTACAAACCTGCCAGAAGGGTTATGCTTCAGCAACATCAAATCCTGCTGGCCATGTCTACTTGCATAGGTATAAATTAAATGTGAATCATCTGTAGTCAATGCAGGCATTAATCATCATGTCAGTGTCACAGTGAACAGCATTTGACCTTCCATTGCACTTCTGGATGCTCTTACCATGCTACAACTTCACCATGGAAATGCTGATGGTGCACCATAAGCTTTTTGGGAACTGCAGTTCATCACCAACGCTGCTTTAGGAAACAGGTCAGTGGTTTGTACTCTGTGCCGGTAAGGTGAAGCATGGGGATTGTTATGTGTTTGGTCAGGATCAAAATCCATCTGCTAAGGCACTTTGCCGCTACATGAGACCTTTCCTTCTTTCCCACATCCTGACCTTGTCAGAGTTGGTAATGCCTGTTCCAAAAGAGCTGCGGTTCAGCTTGGAGCATTGAGCAGCATCTCCAGGGGACAAATTAAGGAAGAAACAGTTCTGAGGTTGTACCAGACCTGGAAAGTAATTATGCATCAGCTACTTGGAAAGGAGACTTAATGCCAGGTGGGAAGAGAGGTCTATGCATTGAAATTGACAAGCAGATACTATATTAAATTATTTATAGGAAAATATTTTGGAAAAAGGAAGAGTTATAAGAGCAGTTTCTGTTGTGAAGGAGTTTTTGGTTGTTTTTTTTTTTTTTCTTTCTTGTTGAAGTACGAAACCAAGTATCATATTGATTTAGATTCTGGTATTTGAGATCATTCGTAACAATTTGTTACTGAAGTTAGCCACACAGATTGTAAAATGTAGATCTTGCTCATCTGTAAAGTACAAGAAAGAAAATTTTTGTCCTGTCTTTTGCTCTGAAAAGTTGTCTCTGTTTAAGGACATACAGACACACAAAAAAATGGAATTTGACACACTTAAATGAGTCCTAAGACTCTAACTATCCGGGGAGTAACTACTTCCCTTTTCCCTTTGTTTTTTTTATATGCTTGGTTCTGCTAGTGCAATATAAGAATAAAAATAAAAAAGTGAAAAATTAAGTGATAAGTTCTTAAGGAAAATGGAATTTCACTCTTCGTAATTGATATTTACTTATGGTATTGGACTGTTCAAGATGAAGTTGTTGTTAGGAAAGTAAGCAAAGGCAAGAATACAAGCTACAGGCTTCATTAGAGTGGACCACCATTTGTTCTTTGTGTACATTTGAGCAGGTTGCAGATATGCCTATGGGAAGGAGCAGTGTTTGTTTGCAACACAAATGGTAGGTTGAAGAGGCTGTGAGTAAGCCACAGATACAGCCACTATGTTTGTGCACTGCTCAAGTAGTGTATGAAACACTCTAGCAGCTTTCAAGAATGGGCTGTGCTATTATCAGTTTCCATTTTCCTGCAAACCTTGAAGAAGCAGCAGTGAACAAACAAGAGTGCATGTTTTGTTCTGTGGTCTTCAGAAATACAGTGTCACATAGATTCAGTTGTGGAATAAACTGTTCTGGAGAAGTGTTATTTTGTACTCTTGGAACTTTACTAAATTAGATGTTATAAAGAAACTGATAACTTGTCAGTTGATTTATGAATAGGATTTTTAATACATTTGGATTTTAAGGCTCTTCACACATTTTATTTGAAATGCTCAGGTTTCTATTTTGGGGGCTGAGTTTGTATTTTAATGAATCAAAGTGAGAAAGCAACAGTGAGTTGTTAAGACTTAGGAGCAACAGTTATTCAGAACTGGCTATCAATAGAAAATTGCCTTCAGTGGGTTACAGCTCCAAATGCTTGAAAGAAAAAAGGCTACCTATGTAGATAGTGATATTATTATTAAATATTTGAGTGATCAGGAGTCTGCTCAGATAAACTGGGATGAGAATATAGTGTTTATTTCTAAGTGACCTGGCAATGTTTCTGTCATGTCCCTGGAAATTCCTAGCACACTTCTGTTCTGAAAAAGCTGTGCAGGATAGCTGAAAGATTGCATAGGCGAGGCAACACTGCAAATGGTTTTGATTTAGGAAGGCTATCTTTCCTCCTGCTATAGTTACTGAAAGCATTTCTTATGCTGAAAGGAGGTTACCCAAAAGGTTTTTCTCACTGGTACTGTAATACTGAGATGCAGAAGTCAGGCACCAGTTGCCTTAAGCATTCACTTGGCCCAGAAGGTAAAAAGGTTTGTATGCCACAACAGCAATAAAGGCACTATTTAAGCAGGATACACAAGACACTGAGATATGTTTTGGCCAGGAAGCTGCACAGGAAAATCAAGCATCAACGTGAATCCCAGATGCAACTTTTATGAGAGAAGGTAGGAGCATTGAAGTATTAATGCTTTGGCTTTTATGGCCAAATTACAGATATTTTTTGTTCCAATTTTCTGTCAGTTCCCCGAATGCAGTATTAAAAAAAAAAAAAAAAAAAAAAAAGACAAGATTTGGTTTCAGATGTCATGAGTAACTGTTCAGAGTTACTCAATGACATTTGAGGGAAGCAGGGCTTACAAGCAATCTGTGGTTTTAAATTAGATTTGCCAAATGCTACATAAAACAATCAGATACGCACAAATTAAAGCTGTTGACAGCCATTTGCAAGCTGGATTATAAGGAGATAAAGCTCAATGAGCATTACTGCCAACAAATAATCGGACTTGTTTCAATTGTGAGTATAGAGTATTTGAAATAACTCGTGGCATGTTTTAGGTAACAATGTTGATTAAAAACAAAAAATAGCCTTACGCTTCTGCAAGAAAGAGTGCTTATGTCATATACAGTTTTTTGAATGGTGGTATAGGCTGTTTTATGTGAACTGTTTCGTGTTCGTAATTTTGAGATAAAGCAGAACTTAAGTTTTTATCTGCTCTAAACAAAACCAGGAAAGTGTCAATTTTAATAATTCTTGTTCAATGTTTTATCATGCTTGACTAAATGGAAAAAAGAATTGAGAATCCATTTTAGTGGAAGACTTGTTCTAAGGGTCTAAGGTTCTAAGACTTGTTCTAAGAACTTGCTCTGTTCTTTGATCTGCCATGATACTTTTCTTTTGAATCCATATGCTTGTCTAGGTAGCAAGATGTGTGTTAGTTCTATTAGCTGATATGAAATACTTGAGGTGCTGAGAAGCTCAGCAAAATAATATATTGGAACAGGTAGCACCCTATGGCAGCTATACTCTCTCTTGGCTGGTCAGCCAGTCAGGCATCTCTGCATAGGACTGCTTTGTGGTTTCAGTTTTGCAGTGAGACCAGTAAATGCATTTGCAGATGAATTATGCTTGACATCTCTGTGAGAGCTAGCCGAACTACTGCCAGTGAAATCTTTCTCTCACAGAATGTAGCAGAATCCAACCATCAAGCTCATCTGGGACTCGTTTCTTTTTTCTTCTCATCTCAAGTGGAGTATGCTTAATTCCCTTTTTGGAGCAGCAAAGATGGCATGGAATGATAGCAGGAAAGAGAGATGAAAAGTTGAGTTGAGTGAGCTAGGTAAATATTATTCTGACACACCCAGCCACAGGAGATAAAGGGACAGATACATGAATGTCTTCTTTCTAGAACAGAGATAAATCCTACTTAGAGCTGCAGAATTGCATATGTTGAAAAAAAATTGCTATACCTGACTTAATTATTCCTGGATTTGTGTTACAAAGGAGACTTTTCAGCAGTACTGCAAATACATCAGAATGATCCTTAGCAAAGATAATATTTTATTGAGGGAACTTGGCAAATATTTTCCATATGCCAATATCATTTCCAGGTTCATATGCAGTGAACTCCAGTTTGTCATTTGCTCTTTAGTATCTGATTTTGTTTTCCATTGTTTTCAATTAAAATTAGCTAAATATGGGAGAGGAAGAAACCTACCTAATTCCAGATCTATTACTAATGGTATATTTATAAAAGAGGCAAATTTCTTCATCTTACAACTCTATAGAAGTTAAGATAAGGACTCAAGTTCTCCTAGGGTAAATGAAGGAGAATAAAATAAAAGGAAGGAGAAAACATCTGTGACAAGTGAATGCATTCTCTATTGAGTGAGTGCAAAGAGCTCTCCATCCTTAAAAGAAAACAAACTGTAATTCTACTAATTTGCCAAGGTAAATATATTCTACATTCAAATTGTAAAATTTTTAAATGTGTTTTTGATTGGTGTCCCTGGTGGGTGCTCTCTCTGTAGCTGTTACTGTGCAGTTCATTCTTCAAATCTTTTTCCTTGGGTCTGTGGGAAACGTCAGTCTAGGAGCTGAATTATATGAATAATTTTATGAATACTGGAATTATATACACAAAATGAGACACGTTCATACTCTTTGTATTTAAGAGATCTCAGAACCTCAGCTATGGACTGTTGTTCTGCATTCTTTCTGTGTATCTGGAAAAAAGACCCTAACACTTCAGGCAAAATGTTACTTACTGGCACCAAATCAACAGATCGTTTCTGGCATTTTTATTCTCTGAAATCCGAATTAGTTTTTATAAAGGATTAACTTGTGACAGAAATTTGAAAAACAGAGGAGAACCTGTGTGAACAAAGATTTTTTTTTTTTTTTTTTTTTTTTTTTTTTTTGTAATAAACCATTGCATATTTGGCAAAATTTTAAAGGTGTAAATAACAGTTAAAGTGAATCTCCCATAATTGGTATTTTTACTATTGGGTGACATTCTGGAAGAAACCAGGTATGGAGTGTATAAAATTTTCTGATATCAGTGTAAATTAATCATTATTCAAACCCTTAGGTTCACTTGGGTAATGTTTGCTAAATGAGAAGAATTTGAAACACAAAATGTAAGAATTCCTTGTTTATTTCAGTTCAGTTATTTGAAACGACTTTGTTTTGGAATATGTGTCTACTCATATCTTTGAATTGATCAGTTTTATATCTTGCATACCAGTCAACCCAACTGGGCAGAATATGAAGAACATTTATGTGCCATTAGAGATGATGAATTATCACCACAAGGAATCACTGTAATGAGGGAAAGCACTGAGTTTAAATTTAGTGCAGCAGTAAACAGGTGACAAAACACGTGATCTATTTTGTGCCTTGTTTGTAGTATCTAATTTTTGCTGCAAGACAACTTGCAAGAGCAAAACATTTTACTGAAGAAAGCTAAAATTCATTATATTTTAATATTACATAACTGAAATGTAAATATGCTCACCAGAACCAACAATGTTGATTAGCCTGCTTTAGAGAACCCTGTACAGCAATAGCTATTTTTACTTGCTGGAACTACCACAGGAATCATTTATATACATAATACAGCCAATAGTCTTAAAACATCCAGAGTCTTCATTGAGCTGAAATTTCTATGCATGAAACATTCCTTCTCTCTCTCTCAATTCAGATCTCTCTTTTGATAACTTCAGAGGCACTAAGTGTAGGCTGAATTTTTTGCAAACCTCTGTCCAGCTGCTCACCATGTCACTGAAGGCTTTCTAGTTTAACTTTTGCCTGAGAGTTTATATCACCACTTCCTCTCAGGCTGAAATAGCTGCTGAGCTGTTTGTATCTTTGTATGTTTGAATCAATACTCATCAAACTCTGCTTTCTTGATTCCCCTTTGTGAGGACTGACTTTCTAAAAGCTGAAGTAAACACAGAATGTAAATTGGAGGGCTTGTGGAAAACTGGATTTCACTTACTTAAAAAAATTACCTAAGAAAATACTAGAACAGTGATAGAGAGACAGGTTTCCCAACAAAGAAAAGTTTCTTACTTTGGTAAGAAGTGTACAGAAACAAGATAAATTTGTTGATACTGATTTCTGCAGGAGAAGCCCAGATCCTACTACTGTGATGTGCTGATGGATGAGAGTCTGCATGACAAGCAATGAAATACAATGAGACGCATACAGAATTAAGCTGTTGTTAAACCCATCGTCTGCTCAGACTGGACAGATCAAACAGAAACTGGAACAGAAAAATGAGCCCTTGTGCAGTAAATATCGAAAATAGAGGGAAGACAAGATAAAGTTACAAGGTGAAGAACTAGTGCCAGTGTTACCAAGCAATGCACGGGTTACAAATTATGATTTATGTTTATGGCCAGCATACACCGATGTCACCCCTGCAGGTGGAAGCCAGGAGCTTCTTGGTGAGAATATCACTGATGCTTAAATATTTCTATCGCATTTTTATGCTATGACCATCATGAGAAAGAAGTTCTGAGAGCATTCATATTTGGTCAATGCACAGGGCATACAGGAAAATTATGGTGTCCAGTATGCCAGCACTGGGAAAAATTGCTCCCAGTCATGAGATACTCTGCAAAAATCACATAACAATGCAGTTATAGATTTATGAGATTGAACTCTAAGAGTGAGATCTTCCAAAATAGCTAGCAGCAAACTCTGTGCAATCCTGTAATACTTAGCTATTAACCACTGTCCTCTTTTGTCTACTGTGGTATAATTTGCATTTTGATTAAACTAGTGAAATATTTTTCTAAACAAAAGAGCCTCTTTTAAAATGTAATTATGTTTCATGTTTAGGCGACTGTTCTTACTGAGGGGGGAAAAAAAAAAAAACAACACCAATTTCCCCTTACCTTTTGTCCTATAAAAAATATATATTGTTACAGTAGCTGGATAAATAAAAATTATAACCAAACTAATCATGTTTAGTGTAACAGCAAATTGCTAGGAGCTTATGGGCTAGTTTATGAATTTTCTTTCATGTTATAGTCCTCCAAAATGTATTATAACTATTTTTTTTCCTGCCATTACCCACAGATTAACAGTGCTCTAATAACTGCTGCTGGAATAGAAAAGACATAGGGTATCAGCTGGGATAAAATGATTACGAAAGTCCATGGTTTTGTTACTTGTTATTAACACCAGCTGGAAATCAGTTTTGTTTTAAAGTACATTTTAATTGCCACACAAAGTAGAAGTCTGGTATTGATTTGGGATGTATTTCCAGATACTAAAACTGTGCTTCTGGTATAATCAGTTTTGAGCTGTTCTTTAGCTCTCCTGTTGCTTTGTTAATTAGTCTATATTAGGTGTACTTCCCAAGATCTAAGATAAGGTAGCAGTTGACTGATGCACTTTCTCATGCTCATACTTTAAGAGAAAATTGATTCTTTCTTCCTTTTCTTTTGTAGACCTTGCCACCTCAACAGTCCGTGATTATATCACCAGCTGAGACATGTGCTGGAGAGGAATAAAGTGAGCTGGAGCCAGATAATAACATTTTTCCATTCACAGGGAGTGTGTGAATCTCCTTGTGAAACAGAATGCCTGAAATCATTGGATTCCAGGGTAGCTCAGCATATGACAGACTCAAACGTATGATTGCAGCTCTTAAAGTGTAATGAGACCCTACTGTACAGTGAAACATTTCCAGACATACATATGTGATACAGGAAGAATCAGGTGCAAAAATTTCTGTTGTCTGGTCATAAGCTGCAAAAAATATTCTCTGTAAAATGTAAAAATCCAGTGAAATCTCTAACGCAAAACTTAGTTCATGTTCGCATGCACCACACTTCTCTTTAGAGTTTAAGTACCTTCAGAGTAAAAGTTGTGAGTTTTGGGTTGTTCTGGATTTGTTGGTGTTTTTTTTTGTGTTTTTTTTTTTTGTTTTTGTTTTCTGTTTTGTTTTGCTTTGTTTTTAATAATACATGCACAGAAGAAGGGACTTGAATCCTCCTGTTCAGGAAGAAAAAAAAGAATTTTCATACTTGTTAATATATGAATGTATATATAAATCCAGAGTTGTACTGCACTTGCAATAGCATTATGCTCAGCTGAGTGGCGCCATCATAAGAGAGCCCCACGTTCACCAAGGGCTTGTGGAAGAAAGAGGATAGCAAGGAAAAGGCTCAACAGGTACTAAGAAATGACAGTCGTTTGAAAAAGCAGGTAACATTGAAAAAGTGTTGTAAGATAAGCAATTCAGAGTAACTGACCATAATTTCAATAGCCAGTTTAGCTGCATGGGGCTAAATCCATCCACCGTGCGGTATTGATAGGTATATGATAGGTAGGTACTGCCCTCTTTTCGTATCTTGTCTTCTAGGAACACTGTGCTAAAGTAATAAAATAGTTCAGCAGTTGGAGGCAAGGCAGAGGTTTTTGGAGAGAAGCCAATGTCTGTGGATGGCCAGACTGGATTAGGACAGTGTTTTGAATGGCATAAACACCTTGTGTGTCATTGGAGTACATGATGTCAAGGACGTTCTACATTTGAAATTTTATAAAAATCACTGTTTTCTCTCAAAAGTTCTTTTAAACTTAGTTCCAGCAATAACTTATGCTTTCTGGCAGCAGAAAATAAGAATTCACATTAGCAATCCCAAATGGTTTTAGAAGGACTGCTATTCACCATTATTGTTTGAAAAAGCAATTTTTTTTTTTAATTGTTCTTATTATTGTTTGAAGAAGTTCTAGCTTAAAATTTTCTGGTCTTTACAACTTTTCACAAGACTATAATTCAGTTCTCTGGAGATCATTTATTTTCACTAATCTTGCATCTGGTAATCCCTTGGATTTTCAGCCACATAGAATTAGAGACCAGGTATTCTATGAAGAATGATTAAGTTGTCCATACAATACTCAGACTAGGAATTTCAATAAGTAAATAAAAAGACAGAAAGCAAAGAGGAAAAATGAGGAAGATAAAAGATTTTAGTGGAATACAATTCTATCATCCTCTGTTTCTTTAAAAATAATACTCTTCATTTCAGTGGAGAAAAGTTTGTTTTTTTGTTTGTTAAACTGGACACAATCTGATTACAGGGAATTTCACTCATACAGAAAGATTTATGGATTTGATATTGTACTGACTGCACTCTAAGTAGACTAGCATAGACTTCCAGTGCATATTTCTGTGTTCACCCTCAGTAACTCAACAGAAGCAAAAATATCCATATACTCTTTCAAAATACCAGGTAGATGTGAGAAATGTTATACGTGAATTAGAAAAGAAGAAAAACTAGTTTTAAAATCTTGATCAGACCCAGATTAAGACTCCAGTAACGCAGTGGCAAATTGCAAGAATGTTCTGATCCAAAAAGAAATTTCCCAAGAGTAACGTTGATTTTGTGCATAGAAGTTAGAGGGTGAAGCAGGTTTGAGAAAGGCAAAACTGGCAGCAGTATTAAATCACAGGCTTAAGTTGCTCATTTGTATGAAACAGTAGCTCATATTGTAGATGTATATAAAATACATGTAGTTCACAGAAGCAAAGTGAAAATGAGTTTGCAAAGTGTTAATGAGATCTTCCTAAAGTCAGCCAGTCTTTGGTAGTCTAGAAGAGAGGATAAAATGCAAGTATTAGCTGCTAAGTTCTGAAATGACTAATTTTAGCATAGTCTTTCTGATCACGTGATGCACATTCTACTAGTAAAATCATAATTGTGTATACACTTGAAAAGTATTTTTAGAAAGCTACGAAGAATTATCTGGAAGCAAATTGGAGGAGAGAATTGCCCTAAATTATGCAAATATTTTAATATGATGTGATTTATCTGAGAAAATTCACTGGAAGAATAACTACAGTCTCTGAAAAGGCTACAGTAAATCACTGTATAAATTTTCCATTCTATATGTTGTTCATAGCTAGGTTTGTCATTTACTTTCTACAACCACTGTGAAAAATCACTTAGCCTGGAAGGTTTTAAAGGCCTCTATTACTTTTTGCAAACTTAAAATCCCTATGTGATTCCGTATCCCAAACTGCAGTTCTGCTGTTAAAGCTGTGAGTTTCTTCTCTTGTGCTCTTGCTGCTGTCATAATTATTTCAAGACTAAAGGAAGCATCCTGATTATCAAGTTCAAATGTAAGTTTTTGATAGAACAGCAGACTACTGCTCTGTTTCTGGAGACCCTCCTGGCTCTGCTTTCAAAGGATTTCTGCCTAACTCCCAAGCTGCACCTGGTCATTGTTACTGAATGAAGAAGGAAATGATCCGTGCAAAATGGCCCGTTGCCTGTTGGTGTCCAGTGCTTTTTCCTTTTCACAGCCCACATTGTTTTCAGGGTGAATTTTGTGAGATAGTGCTTTATTTCCGAAGTACTTATGAGAGAGCTCAAGTTCTGTAACCACTTTCTATGAAATAATCAGGAATTTAAAACTGTTAACTTCTAAGATATTCCTAAGATATTAATCCTGGTGATGACATAACCTTTTATTTTTCCAAATGTAATAACAGGTAAATGTTTAACATTCACTTAAGCCTTTAGGAGTCCAAGGTATTCAACAATCTGAAATCTGATTTGTTGCAGTATGAAGAACAGAAAACAACTAAGAGATCAGGATGATAGGTAGAGAAAGGAATAATAATTACAGCAAGGGCAGAAAGAATAGAGATAAACGCCTGCATCAACTCTAATGTGGTGAAAGACCTGAATCCAAAAAGGTACAGAAAAGTCCATTAAAAGGAATGTTAGTTTTCGTGGTTTTATACAGAATAATGTAAATAATCCATGTAATGAAATGGCATCATACAAAACATCACAGTCCAATCAGGATTAAATTAGTACTTTTCTTCCTCTTATATCATTTAAATCTTTATTAAAAATGGGGAAAATATAGTTTTACAGTTATAGTTTCTTGTTATTGCCAACGGAAAGGATGGCTATTACAAAAAATTAAAAATAATTTTAAAAAGTAGAGGAACACTCATAAATATGATTAACATTGCAGGAATGGTTATAAAATCTCTTTAGTAAAATCAACAAAACAAAGACAGTTTATTCTCCTCACGTTGCTTGTGTGTGTATAAATACATTGTCAATGACTGTGGTGCAGGGCATGATTTGCATAATTAAAAGATTCTCAGCAAATGAGCTGTTATATATTTCTCTATTGTTGTCATCTGCAAAAAGTTTCCCTTAAAAATCTTCCAGATCAGCTTCTTATACTACATCTATAAAGTACGAGTGATCAAGAAAGAAGAAAAATACACGAAACAAATACTCACCCAACCTCAGTGTGTGAGGTATCTTCATTTTATGATCTTGTTTTAATACCCTAAACAAATGCCTTTGAAAAGCCTAATGAAATATCAATTATTAAATACCACTTCTGATAAGTGCTTTTTCCTGCAATGATCTTGTTCTGTCTATTGTATTAATCAAGGAATTATGTAACTGTGAAAACATAGTAGTGGGAGCTGGGGTAAAGAAGTGAAGATTACAGTAATTATGAAGAGGTTGTTTGAATATATCAGAGAGAGTGACCGTGGTAAGTAAAAGGGAAGGGAAGATATGTTTGAGAGGGTATACGGGGAGGACAAGGATGAGACGTACTTGAGGGTGCCATTTTGAAAGGTAAGAGCAGATAAATAAATACAGCTGAACTGAAAGGAGTTGTACATTCTAGGATGCTAAGTAATAATACCAAGGAACTGCATGTATATGAAGCTAGAACAGTTCTTTCAAGTCAAATGTTTACATGTAACAGGCTTGCCCTATTAGTCCAAACAGTTTCTAGTACAGAGACTTCCTGGCTTTCTTCCAATCCCATCACACAGTAGAGTAAAATTGCTTCTCCAAGCTTCAAAAAGACTGCAAATAATCAAACAAGATGTCTAGCTGAGGTGAGTAGATAACTAGTCCAATTTTTTTTTTCAAATGGAGCAGCTTTAAAAATTACCCATTAATACTTTCTCTAGAAACTGAGAGGTTTGACTGTAAGAGATGTCTTTACAAGTGTTTTGGCTTATTTTAGATTCAATATATTTTTTAATCAAAGCACTCCAGATGCTCCTATGTTCTCTTCATTCAAAACCATTAACAGCCATATGCCATAGAACTAAAGACTTAATTGCAAAGATGTATCATCTGAAATCCAACTGAATCAAGGGAGAGGAGGTGAAATTTTGTTAGTAATCAGGAGAGAGAACATGGGGAAGATATGTATGAGTAATGAAGAAATATGGTCAGCATTCTTGCTGTTGAACAAGTTTTCAATTTTTTCAATTACTTCTGGGTCCCAGATAAATGAAAGAAATTGATATATACATATATACGCCCCTTATTCCTACATGTACCAACAAATGATTATTACAAAAGAGATGGAGTTTGATAATACAGTGAAGATCACTTTTCAATGATGCCTCAATATCAGTCTCATTAGGAACAGATGTCTATCTAGTAGTGGTATCAAAATGGAGCAAGGGGGAAGGTGGCATCTGTGTATGTACGAAGCTGACGCAGAAGATGAATATTTGGCAAGTTGAATACAAATCCTGATTTTACCCTGGCAGTCCAGAGGGCCAACCACACCCTGATGTGCCCCACAGCCATTACTGCCATTTTAAAATGAATTACTTAGTTTGAATGAACTTATGAGCTGATATCTCAATGTGCAGCATCATAATAACTGCAATAAATTACTGTTGTTCCAGGGTCTGGTTTCAGCCTGCCATATCAATAATGCTCTTGGATATACTTTGAGATATACCCAGATTTGTTTCGTAATTTTATATAATGTAGATTAAATACAGTTTAAACCCTCCAAAGCCAAATATTCCTCATAATATAATATTCAATGCCAATTAAAAATTATTCCAGCTTTTACCTTGTTTCCACTAGGGGTCAGTCTAGCAAAGATAGCAAACTTTTCTGTTGTAG